TTTTTTCCAAGGGGGGGGGTTGTATATTTTTTTGGTCCTTTGGGGATCAGGGGATCATTGATGCCAGAAATATTAAGAGGTTGGGGGAAAATTGGGGGTACCGCTTCCAGGCCCGTGGGTTTTGGGGGCGTTTAGGGGGTGTTGCACACTTTTTAAATTTTCCCTCAATGTAAAGACTCACTCAAACCGAGTCTGCAATTCTTTAATGTAATTTTGTTGTGATTAATGCTTCCGAGAAATCGCACTTTGTTTTTCCAAAGATTTTTAGTTAACACTTTACCAAGGACCATTATCGTCATTTTTTTCCTCAAATTGCATTTACAGTAGAATCATGAATAAATAAACTTTTTGAAACTTATTCTGTCTTCAACGTCAGCAAAACGTGCTTGCCTAATTTCTTATCTTTTTTTCCTAATAGCGTAATATAAAAGTCACGATAATAGCGAAGTCATTTTACAAAAAAAAAAAAAAAAAAAAAAAAAAAAAGACAAATCGGTGTTTATATCTGAATAAGTGGTCCGATTTCAATTTTATTATTTTATGCCCCCACTTCAAAGAAGAGGGGGTATATTTTTTGCACTTTTTCGGTTCCCCTCGGTCCGTTGGCCCTCGGTCCCCCTAACCCCAAATTTGGGTTTTTTTGAGTGATAACTAAAGAAAGTTTTTGGGGGCCCAGGGGAAATTTTTAAAATTAGTTAAAGGGTTTATTGTCATGACCAGCAGATTAACCCCCATTGATTTTTGGGAAAATTTTTAAGGGGTTTTTTAAAAAAGGGCAATGTTTACATTTTACCTTGGGGAAGTTTTAAAAAAAAAAGGTTTTTTTTTGATCAAAAAACAAAAAAAACCCCCTTTTGGGCTAGGAAAATTCAAACTTGGGAAATTTTGAATTTTTTCAAAGAAACCCGCCCGATGACCCCTAAATTTATTTTGGGGTTTAAGGGGTTTAAAGGTTTTTTAAAGGGCACCCTTGACCTTGTAAAGTTTTAAAAAAAAAACCCCCGGGTTTTCCCCATCAATAACTAAAGAACGCTTTTTTAGGGCCTAGGAACTTCAAAAACTTGGTATGGGTGATTGGCTCATGACCAGGAGATGACCCCTTATTGAAATTTTGGGGTCAAGGGGTTTTTCAAAGGTGGTCACATTGACCTTGTAGGTAAAAAAAAAAAACGGTTTCCCGATCAATAACTAAAATTTTAACGCTTAGTGCCTAGGGAACTTCAAACTTGGCATGGTGATTGCTCATGACGCAAGAGATGACCCATATTGATTTTGGGGTCAAAAAGGTCAAGGTCACATCACGCTTGTAGGTAAAAAACGGTTTCCGATCAAATAACTAAAAGAATGCTTAGGCGTAGGAAACTTCAAAACTGTGGTAGGTGATTGCTCATGACCAGCAGTGACCCCCCCCAATTTGATTTTGGGGTCAAGGGGTCAAAGGTCAGGGTCACATTGAACGCTTGTAGGTAAAAAATGGTTTCGCGATCAATAACTTTAAAAGAACGATTAGGCCCTATGAACTCTCAAAACTTTGGTAATGGTGATTGGTCATGACCCAAAGCAGATGAAATCCTATTGATTTTGGGGTCAAGGGGTCTAAGGCAGGGTCAGCATTGACTTTGTAGGTAAAAACGGTCTCCAATCAATAACTAAAGAAAACGCTTAGGCCTAGGAACTTCAAACTTTGGTAAATGATGATTGGTCCATGACCAAGCAGATGACCCCTATTGATTTAGGGGTCAAAATGTCAGGGTCACATTGACTGGGTAAGGTGAAAACAGTTTCCAAATTCAATAAACTTAAGAAGCTAGGGCCTAGGAACTTCAAACTTAGTATTGGGATGGTCATGACCAGCATGATTGTTCATGACTCCTATTGACCTTTTTGGGGTCAAGGGGTCAAAGGTCAATGTCAACATTGACCTTGGTAAGAAAAAACGGTTTCCGATCAATAATAAAGAACGCTTAGGTCTAGGAACTTCAAACTTGGTAAATGTTGGTGATTAGGTCATGACCAGCAGAATGACCCCCCTATTGATTTTTGGGGTCAAGGGGTCCAAAGGTTAAGGTCCACAATTGACTGTGTGAGGTAAAAACGGTTTCCGATCAATAACTAAAGAGAACGCTTAGGCCTAGGAACTTCAAACTTGGTATGGTGATTGCTCATGAAACCAAAGGAGATGACCCTATTGATTTTTGGGGTCAAGGGGTCAAAGGTCAAGGTCACATTGACCTTGTAGGTAAAAACGGTTTCCGATCAATAACTAAAAATAACGCTTAGGCCTGGAACTTCAAACTTGGCATGGTGATTGCTTCTCATGGACCAGGAAGATACCCCTATTGATTTTTGGGGTCAAAGGTCAAGGGTCACATTCACCTTGTAGGTAAAAACGCGGTTTCCGATCAATAACTAAAGAATGCTTAGGCGTAAAGGAAACTTCAAACTTGGTATGGTGATTGCTCATGACCAAGCAGATGACCCCCCCAATTGATTTTGGGGTCAAGGGGTCAAAAGGTCAAGGTCACATTGACCTTGTAGGTAAAAATGGTTTCCGATCAATAAAACTAAAGAAACGCTTAGGCCTATGAACTTCAAAACTTGGTATGGTGATTGGTCATGACCAAGCAGATGACTCCTATTGATTTTGGGGTCTAAGGAGTCTAAGGTCAAGGTCACATTGACTTTGTTAGGTAAAAACGGTCTCCAACCAATAACTAAAGAACGCTTAGGCCTAGGAACTTCAAAACTTGGTATGATGAAATTGGTCCATGACCAGCAGATGACCCCTATCGATTTAGGGGTCAAATGTCAGGGTCACATTGAGCTTGTAGGTGAAAACAGTTTTTCCAATCAATAACTTAAGAAATGCTTAAGGACCTAGAAACTTCAAACTTGGTATGATGATTGGTCATGACCAGCAGATGAACCCTGTTGATTTTTGGGATCAAGGGTCAAAGGTCAAGGTCAGGTTGACCTTGTAGGTAAAAAAGGTTTCTGATCAATAACTAAAGAATACTTAGGCCTAGGAAACTTCAAACTTGGTATGAATGATTGGTCATGACCAGTAGATGACCCCTATTGGTTTTTGGGGTCAAGGGGTCATTGTCATATTGACCTTGTAACTTAATGACAGTTTGTGACCAATAACTCAACAACTCAAGTTGCCTGGTTGATATTTTTTATATTAAACTAAAAAAATGGCTTTTAGTATACACATTTGAAGGTCTTATGTAATATAACAAACTTGGCTGTCATTAATGAGCCCCTAACATTTGATGTTCATAAAATTTATGCATATATTATTTGTAAAGATTTGTAATAACTTAAATTGCTGCACAAAACCTATGGGGTCCACAATAATTATTAACCTTGTGACTAGTCATGACCTGTAGATACTAGATAACCCTTATTAAATTGTTTGTTCACTGGGTCAGAAGTCATGCATAATAGTCTGATCATATGACTAATTGGCTGCCGATAGGGGGCATACATGTTTTACAAACATATCTTGTTAATTATGTATATAGTCATTGAATAAATTATTAATCAAGGCTTGAATAATTAAAATGGTGTGGATAATCATGGTTAAATAAAAGTGACCTGTTTTTTCTTGCTTTGTGGTACATGTGCACTTATATTTAGTATGGTGGCTATAGGTCAAGGAACTAATTTTGCAAATGTCTTTTTCATTATAAAATCACGTTAGATTCTATAAGATCTCGCTTATTTTTGTATATGTTCATATGCTTTATTTACTTAATTTGCAATAGACTACTGTACCTTTATCATAATGGTATGCACCTATCGTTTAAATGTAAGACACTATTTGATGCATAACGCATCCTGATAAAACGTTGCCAAATTATCTCATTTACGACACTTAAAACGAGATCTCGTGACAAGTACGATAAAGTGTTGGATAGGACGATATTTATACAATAATTTTATTTGAGGATTTATACGTATATAATATACGAGGTAATGGTTTTGATACAAGACTTATTAATAATTGTTATAATCATGCAGAATTGTAATTATTATTTCAATTAACATGTACATGTATATCACTTAAATGTAACAATAGTAAAGAAAATCTAATTAAATCTGCAATTTTGCTTTGGTTAATAAGTATTTGGAATAACTCACTAAAAACAGATAATCATAAAAATTTAAGTTCTTATTTCATGATAAGTTTATAATGATACCAAATGAAATTTTGTTATTGTTTTGAAGATTTATTTCAATGTTGTTTAGGCATGAGAGGTCAAAAGCAAGGTCGTTGCTTTAAAAGTTAAGTGAAACATTTTAATAATAAGTTAGTAAATTCAACGTATTTATTGTTAATTTAAAATAAATTTTTTAGTTGACAGTTTTTCAATTTTCTTTTTCAAATGATATATTAATGTAAGCTCAAATGATGTCTTTAAAAATGGTTAAAAAAGTTATAAAGTTATTCTCTAAATTGTGCATTTTTACCGTTCTATAAATTTTTCTTTCATGTTTCAATCAACATTTTTTTTGCACGAATCTATAATCGACTAATTTTGACAAGAAATTTGAGCGTTCTATATGCATGTAATTAAACGTTACGTCTTTTAAAAAAAATACCTTTATTTAACACATGTTTTTGAATGAGAGTTGATATTTCTATGCTATATACAAGTATGAAATCATGCCTAAGATGGGCGTTTAATTGCTTAAAGAAAATTTGGCTTTGGCTCAAAATTGTAGATCATTTAGTTTCAGAAGATAATTGGGCTTTCTTCTTAAATATTATAGCTGGAAAAAATCCTTTTGTATGTTTTAATAACCAAAAAGAGAATACAGGGGGACGCTGACGTAATTTTAAATTGATTCCGAACTGAAATTATTCTAAGTAATGATTTAGAAGTGACGTTTATTCTTAGTACATCGTTTCTTAATTAAATAGAAATTTCTCCATTCAACAATTATTTTTTAATGTTTGACTTCTTCTTTTAAGTTAATCTGCTAGAACGAAACCTTAAAATATTTTTCTTAAAGGACAATGGCTGTCCCAGGGAGGAAAGTCAGTGATGACAATCTTACAGTTTTCTGCCAGCCCTGTGACAGAGATGGGGAAAGATTGGCTGCACATGGCTACTGCAAGAATTGTTGTGAACATTTATGTGAATCCTGCCACAAACATCACAAGAGACATACTCTTTCCCGAGATCACATTTTAGTAGACAAAACCAACATGCCACAGACAATACAACCGCCTTCAAATTTTCATTATCAACAGCATGATGACTTTACAAAACCGTGTCATAAGCACAAACGGGAAGCCATAAAGTTTTACTGTCAAGACCATAATGAACTACTCTGCAGTGTTTGTGTTACTCTTGGCCACCAATCTACTTCTTGCAAAGTGGGCTATATACCCGATATCTCTGAAAATGTCATTGACGGCAAAGAGTACTTAGAAATGTTGAAAACAATGGATTCAATGTCTGAGCAATTCCGTAAAATACAAGACCGTATATACAGATTAACCGTTAAAGCAAACAAGACATTGGCAAATGTATTAGAAGACATAGAGTTGTTCCGGAAAGGAATCAATCAGAAATTAGATGAACTTGAAAAACAAGCTGTAGTTGAAGTAAATGTCTTTCAAGATGAAAATATAAAGATGCTTAAAGAAGTTGAGAAAGCATGTAACGACAGAACAAGAGATTTGTGGACATCCTGTGATTCAATGAAGCGACTTAACTGTTCGAAACAAGCAGAAAAGCTCTTTATGGAAGTAAAAAGTGCTGAGAGAATGATAGAAGACTGTGAAAAAAGGCTAGTAGAGTTAGCCAAATTTAAAGTACATGGTTACAGCTTTACACCTAATGAAACAATAACATCAAAAAATTCTTTGGGTATATTAGTACACAAAACAATGCGTGATGAAAGTACAACTAAAGAGTCTATGATATTTGAAAGGGAACTATCTTACCATGATTATATATGTGTGGAGACAGCAAAAGATAAACCAATGTGCTGGATAACTGGAATGACTCTTCTTACTCCTAATATTCTTGTTATCACCGATAATCATAACATGGCTGTAAAGTTGGCTGATACATGTAGTAAATCTGTGACTGATCGACTACAGCTAGATTCTGAGCCTTATGATATCACCTCGGTGACTGGTACTGAACTGGCTGTCACACTTCCTTACAGTGACACAATTCAGTTTATAGCGATCTCTTCGAACAAACTAAAACAACAGCACACTATAAAGGTTGATGGAAACTGTTGGGGTATAAGCTGTTACCAAGATAAACTTGTTGTATCATTTTGTGACCCTGCAAAACTCCAGATCCTGGACATGGATGGTATTGTTTTGAAAACATTTCAAGATAAAAATATTTTCAAAAATCCGTTGTTTGTCGAGGCTGTCAGTAGTTCAATCTATATTTCTGACAATGTAATGAATAGACTGACCAGGATTAACTGGTATGGGCAGGTGATTGGTAGCTACTGTGATATGGATGAACCTAGAGGAATAACACTGTCAGATGATGACACTGTCTTTGTGTGTTATAAAGAAAGACGTGTTTTAAAAGAAATATCAAGAGACTTGTTTGCAGGAAATGTGTTGAAGGTTATAAAATGGCCACAAGCTGTTTGTTGGTGTAGTGAAACAAAGAAGCTGTACCTCAGCAGCGATAATGCAAATTACGATTACGACGACTACGATAACTTTCTGCACATCTATGATGAAATGTCTTAGACACTAATACATGCATTTGCAAGAATCACACATCACATGTGCTGAAGTTTTAAAACCATTAGCAAGATAGTTAAATGGGAGGCAATTAAATAAAATTGCCAGTTGACAAAATCGTTAGTAAAACGCGTTTATTATAGCCGTTTCTAGACTTCAACATATAAAATTTACAAGATTCGACTATACTCGTAGACTGCCTGTCATAAGCCAATCAAAACGGATAAATAAATTCCACGTGATTACAAAATAAACACCAAATACCTTAAAAAGGGGCGCCTACGGGGGACGACAACTGCCAATTTTTTGTCTGGTTACCTGTATTTATAATTGAAATACTATCTTCATGAACGAAGCTCAAAACCAGTGGGTAGATCTAACAGGGTCAAGTATATTAGGAATAGTTCTCTTTCCATTCTCGAAACATTAGCTCTGTTGTTCAGGAAGAAGCCTTTGTCACCAAATAAATATTTTCGAATATCTGGCTGAACGGCGATTCCTCGCGTTTTTGGAAATGCTTAAACTTCTTCTATACAAATTCTCCTGCGATAGAAACCTATAAAAGTAAAAAGACACTTGAATCAACATGGTCACGTCTCTTTATAGTCCATATTCATTTACATTCAACCGCACAAATTTAACAAATTTTTCAATTTTCAGTCTATAGAACAGCTTTACATAAAAGTTAAAAATGATCGATATCTATTTAACTATTTAACAATGCAAATTTTTAAAGTTTAAGCCCATGAGATCGTATATGATTAACTTTTGATTAATTTGAACTGAATATGACAAAAAAGTATTTAAATTTGTTGAATACTTGTAACTTCGAAAACAGATGAGAAAAACAACATCTCAGTGTACGTTTGAAAGGATTCTACTGTGTTTGTTAAATGTTTGTTTTAATCATTTGTTGTCTTCTTTTAAACTTTATGTCCTGGAAACTAGTCATTTTGCTTTTTTTCATGAATCAGAATTAGAGACGATAAGATATAAAGTTAAAAAAGAAAACAATTTAAAAAAAATCTTATAGCGTAACTTACAGTGTAACTTCTGAAAACCAACACCTATGGGACTAGTAAAAAAGTTCGGAATTTGGAAGTTTCCCGAATTCAGAAATTCGGAATTGTCTGAACAAGTAGAAACACTAAACATCAATTGTTTAAGAAGACCACAGACACTTGGGGTGTGGAGCTCAAAAAACCTTTAAAATCTAAATAAAATGCATATTTGTCAACCCCAGCACATGTACTGATCATATATATATTGACAAATATGCATTTTATTTGGATTTTAAAGGTTTTTTGAGCTCCACACCCCAAGTGTCGGTGAAGAAGACATGATGAAAAATGTATGAAGCTGATTATATTCATATATGGCAAAATTACAGGACTTTTAAAAAAGTTTATAGCTATATTAAATATCTTTGTCATCTATAACTGAATTTGTTAATACAATAGCATAATGTTAATTATCGAAATTTATTCTGTTGTATAATTCATGTAGTACCAGCTATTAACCTTTAATCTTTGTTTTTCGGGATACGGACAAAAGCCCCCCCCCGGACAAATATGGGGCTGTCCACCCTTGTTATTTAATACAGGGTGGACAAAAGCGGCCCATGAAATTTCCAGGGAAAGCTTTTGTCCTCACACCGTTCATCATTATAAATCGGTAGCAAAGTTTCACACATCCATCAAATGTTACAATTTAAGGTTATTCTAAAATACTGATCAGATCACATAGTTATTGCTAAGAAATTTACACTTTGATGCTTTTACTCAAAAGTATTAAAATTCTACTAACTTTTCATACCCGGTATTTTGCATAGTGTCGCAGCGTATGTTTGTACTACCCGCGGCGCAATGGTCATTTCATTGTTATCACTTCGTGATGAAATACATATCTTCTTATAAATAAACATTGCAATAACTAATCTTTAAGATATATTCTACATTTTAAAGATATTGAAAATTTGTGTGAAAACACTGTGGAATTTTTGGAGTCATCTAAGTGCAGTGCTGAAAAAATGAGCGCGGTTCATCTGTTCTTATATGTATATATCATTTTTTTTTGTGGGAGATGAAGGTAATTGAATTAAAAGCTTATGCCAAATATTAACACTTGTTTAAAATGAAAAATACTGCAGTTTACATGGTTTTGAGAGGTAGGAGGGTTGTAGAGTGGGTAAGGGGGGGGGGGGGTTGGCCCGGGGGTAGTGACTAATCAACGCGCCGAACACCTATGTATTTTGGAAGTAAATTTGAATTGATATAACCCCAATTTTACCAAAAATAGTTCGGAATTCAGAATTTAGAAGTTCCGTAATTCAGAGGTTTTAATTATATAGAAAACAGAAGGAGAAATTTCGGGACCTTGAAAAATGTTTGGATTTCAGAAGTTTCCGGATTTTAGAAGTTCCGGAATTCGGAAGTTACACTGTACACCACAAATGGTTGACTTATTTGTAACTCATCATAAAAATTTAGTGTATCTGTACATGTTTTATCAACATATTTTAAGTTTGCCTTATACGTATTCACATAATGATGTGTGTTATTTCAAGAATTATAACGTCTATTATGATTTATAATTCTACTATCCATGTATGGAGTATGCGGTATTTTATGCACGATTCACCTATGTGTGTGTGTGTGTGCGCGCGTGCGCGCGCGCGTGTGTGTGTGTGTGTGTGTTGGTGTGTGTGCGCGCGCGTGCTCATGCGCTTTATATAGATACTACTGTGAACTAAAAAATCTTCTCTTGAAAAAACACTTGTCAAATTTCAACCAAACTTGGCAGGATTAGTCCTTGGGACCCACACGGCCTAGAGCTAAGATATTTTGCAAATGGCATTGTCTGGTAGACCAAGATTGCTCAAATTATAGCCCTGCGGACAAAATTGGCCCGCCCTGGTGGTCGTTGATTTCACTAATATATGTACATGTAATAAAAACTTAAAAATCTACTTGTCTGAAGGTACAAGGCTTAGGCTTAGAACTTTGATATTTGGTATATGATATGATCTATAGGTGTTCAAATTTTCCCTCTAGTGTCAAAATTGGCCCGCCCGGGGGTCTTAAGTTTTCAATATATGTATATAGTAAATTCTTAAAAAAAATCTTCTCTAAAATAACAAAGGCTAGAGGTTAGATATTTGGCATGAAACATTGTGTAGTGGACCTCTTCCAAGATTGTTACAATTATACCCTTTGGGTCAAAATTGGCCCCGCCCTTGTGGTCACATAGGGTTTTTAAGTGTTTATGAAAAAAACTTATAAAATTTCTTCTCAGAACTGACAAAGGCTAGAGGTTAGATATTTGGCATGAATCATTGTGTAGTCCTTTACCAAGATTTATCAAATTATAGCCCTGATGTCAAAATTGGCTCCAACACGGGGTTATTTATTCTAATTATGTTCATAAAGTAAAATCTTCTTTTGTGAAAGGAAAAATCTTACATTGGAATGTATAGTACATGTTTAGCAAATTTTATGTAATATTTTCAATTGCTGGGAGTAAGTCTAAAGTCATGATTTTCAGAGATATTTATGAAAAAATCATTCATGTTATTATTTCTACCTCTTTGTAGAGACATTAAATGAAACAATTTGAGCATATTATAAAGATATTTTGATTCACACCATGTATATAAATAAATCATTATGTTTTTAGCAATTGGTAATGCTTATTTAAAAAGATCGGTATTTTAGAAAAGTAACTGCACCTGCATTTCAAAATTTTATACATCTATTTTATACAGTTAATACCTATTTCATTTTCAATAAAAATTCTTTTATTTTTGAATCAATTATTGCTTTTTTTGCCTTTGTATCTTAACATGTGTCTAATGATTTGACATGCTGAAATATGACCTTGACCCCCCACCCGATTTCACTAGTCACTTCTGCACTATGGCAAAGTTCAATTGTATAATAACAAAAATCTACTTATGTTATATTAACGCGGTGTCATAGCATTTTTTTTCAAAAATGCATTCTTGTAAGATTAAATGTCTTATCTACCTATGTATAAACATGCTGTCTTGTTTAAATTGAAAACCAATGAAATAGGTGGTTTTGTTGACTTTTAATTTCTTATCTTCTAATCTATTTTTTTGCCTTGTTTGAGATTAAATGTTCTACCAACCTATGAAATACTTGAACCCTTACTACATGTATTTATCTATCCATGAAATACTTGGCCTCTTTTAGTTTAAATTTCCTATCTATTCGTGAATAACTTTATATTTTTTTAGTTTAAACTTCTTATTTATCCATAAAATTTTTGATTTTTTTTTAGTATAATCTTCCTATCTAATTTTTGTTTGTGTTTAAACTCACTATCTATCTATATGGTGTTTGAGCTTAAACTTCTTATTGAGAAGTGTAATAAATGTAACTTGGTTTATACAGAATTTATTTTAGTTCGATTGTGTAGGAAGCTATTAGCTTATAAACACACTTTCGAATCCGTTCCTGGAACCAACCAGTACTGAGCAATGAGTGTAAAGTTTCTTGCTCAAGGAAACCAAAACTTGCCCCTGTCAGGGTTTGAACCCATGCGGCTAGCGATCATAAGATTACTAGTCCGAAGCGTTAACCACTCGGCCATGCCGCCACTCTTTGCACTTCAAAAAACCGTAACACAGCTCAGCCCCTTTTTTTTGAATGATCTCCTCGTTTAGAAAAATCTTGTCCGAGACATAACTCGATTATTATAACAGATATCAACATAAAACTTTGTAGGTAGATAGCAGGCAATGAGTAGATGTGCAATGCATAAGAACCGTAACTCTGCTTCGCCAAAGTTTGGAGTTATTGCTCTTAAATTATTAATTATTTTTACACTTTGAACTTTGTCCGGGATGTTACTCTAAAATTATCAGAGATATCAACATGAAACTTTGTACGTAGATATATCTCACTGGGTAGAAATGAATTTTAAAAGAACCATAACTTTGCCAGCCGCGTTTTGAATGGTCTCCCCTTTTAGAAAAAATATTTTCCGAGATATAACTCGATAATTATAAGAGATATCAACATGAAACTTCGTTGGTAGATATATCTCAATAAGTTGATATGCAGTGCATAAGAACCGTTACTCTGTTTTACCAATTATTTGAGTTATTGCCCTTTAATTATTTTACACTTTGAACTTTGTCCGGGATTTTTCTCTAAAGTTATCAGAGATATCAACATGAAACTTTGTAGGTCGATAGATCTCATTGGGTTAAAGTGCATTGCAAAAGAACCATGACTCTGGTTAGCCCTGTAATTGAATTATCCGAGACATAACTCTAATTATAAGAAATTTATGCATGAAATTTTGTAGGTAGATAGATCTCAATAGGTAAATGTGCGGTGCAGAAGAAACGTTACTCTGTCTAACCTTATTTTAGAGTTATTGCCCTTTGTTCGTTTTTACATTTTAAACTTTGTCAGGGACATAACTTGGAAACCATAACAGGTATCAACAAGAAACTTTGTAGGTAGATAGATCTCATTTATTAAAAGTCCTGTGCAAAGAACAGTTACTCTGCATTGCCTTATTCTGGAATTATTGTACTTTGAACTTTGTCCAGGGACATTACTATGAAATACAAGAGGTGTACTTTCGGGAAGCATCACCCGGTTCAAACTGGGCTCTTGTTTAACATGAACTCAAGAGCTTAATTTTATTTTTATGTTTTGCAATTATTTAAATGATTTAGTTCATAAAACAACTTAGCATGAACTAAGCTTGTAAACCTTAGATAACCCTTACAATTTATAAAGACAATTACTCACAGAAGGAGAAATTTCGGGACCTTGAAAAATGTTTGGATTTCAGAAGTTTCCGGATTTCAGAAGTTCCGGAATTCGGAAGTTACACTGTACACCACAAATGGTTGACTTATTTGTAACTCATCATAAAATTGAGTGTATCTGTACATGTTTTATCAACATATTTTAAATTTGCCTTATACGTATTCACATAAAGATGTGTGTTATTTCAAGAATTATAACGTCTATTATGATTTATAATTCTACTATCCATGTGTGGAGTATGCGGTATTTTATGCACGATTCACCTGTGTGTGTGTGTGTGTGTTTGTGCGCGCGCGTGCGTGCGTGCTAGTGTGTGTGTGTGTGTGCGTGCGTGCGTGCGTTGCGCGCGCGCGTGCTCGTGCGTTTTATATAGATACTACTGTGAACTAAAAAATCTTCTCTTGAAAAAGCACTTGTCAAATTTCAACCAAACTTTGCAGGATTTGTCCTTGGGAATTGTTCAAAAGGAATTATAAGAAAACATTTAAAAAAAGAACTTCTTGTAAAGACCCACACGGCCTAGAGCTAAGATATTTTGCAAATGGCATTGTCTGGTAGACCAAGATTGCTCAAATTATAGCCCTGCGGACAAAATTGGCCCCGCCCTGGTGGTCGTTGATTTCACTATGTACATGCAATAAAAACTTAAAAATCTTCTTGTCTGAAGGTACAAGGCTTAGGCTTAGAACTGTGATATTTGGTATATGATATCATCTATAGGTGTTCAAATTTTCCCTCTAGTGTCAA